CACCCAAAACCTGACTTAGGTAGCTTTGTAGTGAGTTGTAGGCTTGATTGACATGAAGCAATTCGCGTTGTATGTATGATGGGCACAACTTGTTTACAACTTGACTTAGGTAGTTGTTGTGAGTTATAAGCTTGATCTTCACGCCGCAATTCGTGTTGTATGTATGACGCGCACAACTTGTTTACAACTTGACTTAGGTAGTTGTAGTAAGTTGAAGGCTTGATTTACACGACGCAATTGCATAACTTGACTTAGGTAGTTGTAGTGAGCTGTAGGCTTGATTTAGACGCAATTTGTGTTGTATGTATGACACGCACAACTTGTTTACAACTTGACTTAGGTAGTTGTAGTAAGTTGTAGGCTTTCCCCAATGCAATTCTTATTGTATGTATGGCAATGTGAAATTTAAACTTGATCATTTTTTTCAGTCTGCACTGCTTGATAACAACAGCCTCCTTGGTAGTAATGTACAGAAGAATGGTATGTGTGAAGTTCTGTATGCTGCTGCTTGGCTATCTGGTGAATTTTGCATGTAAGTTTTCATACAGTGTAGTTGTTTTGCTTTTTCCCTTTTTCTCCATATATTGATGATTTTATTTTTTCCAATTGTTTTATATATCCATTATAAAACTCATTAATATTCATAAGGCAAAACACAATAGAAATCATAGCCCATGAAGAGAGTTGTATATTACATACAGATTTCTTGTTCATTTGCATAAACTTTTACTCTGATTTTCTCAGTCAGATTGAATTTTTTTTCAAAAGTTTCTTTAAAACCTGAGCTAATTTACCTTAACGTTTCATAAGTAATATACAATATTCGCGTGTGATCTGTATGAGGTTTAAAACAGCTCGCTTTCAGCTCGCTGTTTTAAATCCTCATACAGATTGCCCGCTCATATTGTATATATTACTTACAAATTTCAATCTTCCTATCTATCCCACTTTTCTTTTTCCTCATCCTAATTTTCATTTCTAGTATATATTTTTTCATTCCTTTCTTTTTTCTATTCTGAATAGAAAAAGAAATTCTGAACTTTTTTGTTCTTTATCCTATCTTTTCTCTCTTGCCCCCTCTCATCTCTGCCATCATACATAATAAATATTATATTGACATAAGATATCAAATATTGATCTGATTGCAGACATCTTCCTGATGTGGGAATGACTATGGAATCAATGTTGCGTACCAAGGCAACGTCATTACCTGGTCATATACAGGCAGTATATGTGCAAAGTATTGCAAAACTTTACTCGCATATGTTGAAAAAGATGGAAGATGATGCAGAGGTACAGTCACAGTTTTCTTTCCTATATTCAATAAAAAATATTGTTAAAAAGTAAGGAAACAGTTATCTCTCTGTTTTAACTTAAAACTTTTGTTTTTGTTGGTAAAAACAACAACAGATCAAGTTCAATCTATTTCTTTGTTTTGTTTTGAGCCTTTGCACCATTCTCTTACATACGAAATTTCACCATTTTGAATAAATCAAAAACATTAAGATCATTTGCAAAACAAAACAAACAGGGTTTTTGGATGCAGCTGAGACTTTGAAGAAACACAGCATGAACTTGTATAAATTTAAGGCAAAAATATTAACCAAAGGGTAGAATTCTATAGTCACATTTCTTATAGAGAACAAAGTTTGAAAACAGTTGTTCAGTAGTCAGTGACTATTTTACAATTACTTGATTATCTGTGAAAAGTTATGAAATTTGTGAGTGAAAWGTGAAAGTATTGACAAAGATTCATTACCCCTYAGGAKAATGACTTGACGGCAGCCATAGAGTTTGGACAAAAACTGGTAGATAACCTTCCAATGTTTGTACAGAGTGCTGATCTAGAAGTACAGGAAAGGGTAAGCCAAGGCTAGTCAGGTCTATCAGTGATARTCAATTGCAACCTTCGTCAATACCTAATCAATCGCTCTGAACCTAGCTTCCTTTCTCTCCTTGGACTTACTGTGTTGATTTATCCTGTCCGACATTCCAAACCCCTCTCCCCTCCAGCCGATTTTCTGACTAACACAGGAATTCTGTGGAATAGAGTTGCTTGTAAAGGAAGCTACTCCGAAAAATCTTTATGATCGTCTTTCTTTAGAGGGTACAGAGTCAGTTCTGTCTCTCTGTCTGTAACTCTTCAAGGCTAGTGTCTCAGTCAGTCAGTCAATCAGCTTTGTTATTAGAGTGGATTTTGAATGACTGTGCAAAAAAATTGGCACTTTGAGCAGTAACCGTGCTGTGACAGTGATGTGTTCTTGAATCACTTATTTTCATTTGGTGTTATACCAGGTGAGGTTCCGTGACCGCATTATGCGTTGTAGTCATCACTTCTTTAGACGCTTGTGAAGCTTGTCATTCAGTTTATCTTGCTGTAGGTTTCTCATTTTCTACAGTACAATATTCCAAACTTTACAGTACTTAGTAAACTTCTCATTAAATCAAAAGCCTTTTGTGTTTAGAACTCTGTCTATTGGTTGATTGTTTTGTATTGTTCTTTCAGGCCAGTTGTTTCCTGCAGATGATTAAGTATGTACTCAAACTACAAGCAAAAGGTATGTTGGTGAAAGTGGTTAAGTAAAATARAAAACATTTCATGATGCTGGTTTGTTTTCAGGAGTCAAATGTGGAGATGAAGTGTGTATGTTGTTTGTGGGTGAGCTAAATCCTGTGGCTGCCAAAGCACAAAAGAAAGTCCCTGTCCCTGAAGGGTAAGTTGGCAAAAACTAAATAACAAAATGATAAAAGAGTTTAATGTGCTCTWTGAATGGGACATGCTTGCCAATGACATGAGTACAAGAGAAGACAGTTATGAAAGAAATGCAAAATGTTTTATYACTGACTGGAGTGGTGTTTGTAGTCATCTTTCTTTAGATACCAATGCAGACACATTTAGTGGCTCAGTCATTTGGCAAGTCTGTCATCAATTAGTCAATCAGGAGCAGAACAAAGCCTCGGTTTTATTGGCAAAATAGTCTTAGACCTTTAAACCAATGGATTGAAACAGATTGCAAATGGATATTCTCATTTTCCATATAATAATAAAAAATCTAAACACGACCGCATTGAATGCTGATGGACCATGTCCCTTTAAGGGAGATTCAAATTTATTTGGAATAATGTATCAAAAAGATTATAAATTCTTTGTAAAGGTTGGATCTGGATAAATGGATTAATGAACCACCAGAAGAGAGTTCTCCAGAAGAGGACAATGATGAAGACATGTTTGCTGGCATAAATGACACCAAGTAATGTTGCATAATGATTGACAGGGCAGCCATATTCAGCTTGGTTTCAATGTTAACTGAGTCCCGTAGCACACATCAGTAGCTCTGTACCTTAGCTGAATAGGGCAGCTTATAACACARTGGATACTGTTAAGTGTAGGAAMTATGAAAAAAAAAATGYRTTGAGATGTCATTTTAACAGTAAAAAGCTAATGCGGTTWGTGTGTKTGATACTTGTAATGRCATCTCAAAACATTTTGCAATCATCCTTGTWGATAGGGACTTAAATCAACAATAATCAAAAATCTGAAAAGGTTGATTGTGTACTTRTTATAATTGTAATGGGGATGTGAGTTGCTATTTTTAAAGCATTGTTTTCTTGTTCCTACTATTGTGGACAGCAATTCAGGGTAGCTCTATTTCTTTTATATAATCGTATAGAAGAGGTTATAAATTATATAATATGGGATTGTTGTTCAAATCTCTAGAACTTTCTATGGTCAAAAAGAGACTCCAGAACCTGATGAAGAAGAACTTGAAAAGGTAAATATTATAAGTCAAACCCAAAACTGACMATAACTGATGAAGTGCATGTATTGGCAAATATATTGTAGCTACTGCAGCTAAAGGCTGCTCTTTAAGTAGGGGTTGGCACTAGGTCTGTCACTAGGAATGRTGGTATTCTTGTGGTTATAAAGGTTGGAAGAGAGGAAAGTGCATCTCACAGTGAAGGCCTTTCAATGCAAAGGATAATGTGTTGTTTTTTTCAATCATTCCCGTGAGATTCAAAAGACAAAAGACCATTGGCCATGTTGGATGAATGAACAATAGATACTAATGAGAAATCCTTTGTTGAAGTTTAACCAAGATGATTACTATGATCTCYGTGTGTTTGTCACAATGATGACCTTCCATTTAGATCACTTTTTACTCGATATTTTGCAGAGAAGAGAACAGCGCAAGGCAGAGCGTAGCTCCAATCCACACTATCTTCGCTTTGATGCGCCATCAAAGGTTTGATAATAACTAACTATAAAGTAATGTTATTCTATATAATGTGAATTAGGTCGGGCCGTACGGGAAAATATGTGGCTCTCGGCACATATAACCTCGAGCCAAATATTTTCCCGTACGGCCCTCCCACTCAGTCAATAAGTACATAAGATTATAAAAATTTTAATGAGGATTGTTCTCTAGTGATGTGTTCATTTTCATTTTGTTTATTGTTGTTTTGTTAACAGCAAAAACCAACCACTAATGTTGATGACATCCCTGTTGCAAACCTTGACCTGCCGGTATCACTGAAAATCTCAGGTGAGTGTTCAACTGATGTAGTTGAATTGACAGTATTGTGGAGTCATAATGCCTAATTAAACAAATAGCTAGTGAGCAATGATGTTTTGTGGAACATCAGGGGCAACTATCTCACCATAATGCCCAAGATGTAAATTGCTCTATTGTTTTTATTGTTCAACAACAAATCTGTTGAACTGGCAGTGCATTGGTAGTACCACTCCCCAGTGAACTGGCAGTCTCTGTGCATTGATAGTACCACTCCCCAGTGAACTGGCAGTCTCTGTGCATTGATAGTACCACTCCCCAGTGAACTGTCAGTCTCTGTGCATTGATAGTACCACTCCCCAGTGAACTGTCAGTCTCTGTGCATTGATAGTACCACTCCCCAGTACCACTCCCCAGTGGCCACTATTGCATCACATGGGGTCATCACATGCTGAATTCTTGACCAATTAGAATGCAGGAAATTTCTTGTTAATTATAATGCTCAAGTAAATTGCAACTACTGTGGTTGAAAGAGTTCATCTTTACCGAGTCATTGTAAAATTGAGTGTGTTGTGGATTGTTTTTTTTTGTTGTGAGAATTCAAGTCACTTTTTAATGTGGGAGATCGCCACCATACCTTTGATGTTTGATGTATAGTTTAAAACACGAGAGATATACCTGATAAAACACGATCTCAAGTGTTTTAAACGGCTTCAAAAACTCCAACACTAATTTGAAACTCAAATCCGTTAAAATTCTTGGAGAAATTGACGTACAAATATGTTCAGAGATAAATAGGGCAAACTGATCATGCGCGAATCACTTTACAAAGCACTCTTGTCATCCCACATTGAATACGCATAAAGTAAAATAGAACCGCTCTTGGATGTCCACTGAAATCGGTTGACATCCTGCATTGGTCAATGATCAGGTTTCAAACCTGAGACCTTTGCTAGGGTCATGGACCTTTATATCTGATAAAGGTCACCCTTATTAGTATTCTTTATATAAAGAATACTAATAAGGAGTGTTTTATCAGATATAAAGGTCCATGCATGTGACCAAATAGGCTCATTCTATTGGCCTAGTAGCTCATTAATTATGTATGAGT